AAGATCTGCCTTGATTCTTTACTCTTGAGGTTTTCACATTTTCTCTTGCCTTTGACGTATTTTTTATTTTGAATTGACATTCAATTATAGCATTATTCTGGAAGCCCAAGGGTTCCAGAAAACAGAATGCTGACATCCCAGGATTTTTGCTGTTCTAGACGTATTTACACCTTTCTTCTGTGTCGGTAATGAAGTGTGGGGATCCCAGAGTCATGTAGTAGTGAATCAGGCAGTGAACCACCCTGTGAGCTCTCAGACTTCTCACGAACCACAGTGCTGACATCACCGTCATGCATCGGCTGACGGCCTGGTTTGGTCTCCATGACTAGCATTGCCGCCTCCTCCCTTTGCACAGTCCTTCATTCCTCTGTGCGCTCATCACTTACCCCATTCACTCACCATGAGACACCTGTGAGCACTTGGGCTCTGACGTTTACCTCAGGCTTTTGTTGTAATTTGCTGCCACCCCCATTCTCAGGCCTCATTCATACTGCTAGCCACAGGCTTGTCCTAGAGAACTCCAGGTACTTTCCTACCTGTTCCTCCACCCAGACGCCCACACGGCAACTCCTTCTATCCCTTGTTCTCTGCTCACATATAACCTAATCTATGAAGCCTCTCCTCACAGCCTTGCTCTGTTTTTTTTTTTTTTTTTTTAAGTTTTATTTATTTGTTTGAGAGGCAGAGTTACAGAGAGACAGAAGCAGAGAGAGCGAGAGAGATCTTCCATCCACTGGTTCACTCCCCAATTGGCTGCAACCAGCCTTGCTTTAAATTTCTCCCTCTCCTGTCGTTTTCCCTGCATGCTTTCCCTCCCTTGCTTTATTTTTTAATTTTTTTTTTTTGACAGGCAGAGTTAGATAGTGAGAGACAGAGAGAAAGGTCTTCCTTCCGTTGGTTCACCCCTCAAATGGCTGTTATTGCTGGCGCGCTGCGCCAATCCGAAGCCAAGAGCCAGGTACTTCCTCCTGGTCCCCCATGCGGGTGCAGGGCCCAAGCACTTGGGCCATCCTTACTGCCTTCCTGGGCCACAGCAGATAGTTGGACTGGAAGAGGAGCAACTGGGACAGAACCTGCGCCCCGACTGGGACTAGAACCTGGAGTACCGGCGCTGCAGGAGGAGGATTAGCCAAGTGAGCCGCAGCGCCAGCGTCTTGCTTTATTTTGTCTAGAGTGTTCATCATGGACTGACACTAATTAAAATCATCTCAGTCTCCTTACTAGTATGTAAATCCAAGGAGCGGGCATTTAGTGTGGGACTTAAGACATCCACTCCCACATCACAGTGCTTGGTTTAAATTCCTGGCTCCAGCTCTTGACTTGGCTTCCTGCTAATCCAGGCCCTGGGAAGCAGCAGTGATGGCTCCAGTAAATGGGAGACCTGAATTACAGTCCCAGCTTGCACCTTGGCTCAGCCCGGGACATTTGGAGAATGGACCAGCATTTGGGATATTTCTCCACACACACCCCCCCCCATAAATTAATTTAATTAAAATATATAAGAAGGCAGGGATTTTTGTTCCCTGCTTTTCCCCAGTTTTCTAGAACCAAGCTTGTCGAATACTGGGAATGATATAATTATTGAATTAACAAATCATCAATTACTTCTCTTTCCCTGGTATAAAGTAGCTTCTGGAGAAGAGAAAGCATGCCACAGTCCCTACGTTTATACAGTGTAAGCACTCACAAGTGATGGGTCAGTTTTAGCTTTTGGTGGCTGTTGGGTTATTCTCCGGATGTTATAGTGAAGTTTTAAACAAAAGCGTGAGTGCCTTTGGAGACTTTATTTATAAACAGAAGTGGTTGTCAGCAAAGGTGTCTTGCCTTGTGGGATGCTAATACTGTCATCAGAGATGGGAGGAGCTAGAGGTTCCCGGCTTTGCAAGAGAAGATTCAGATGGGAGACAGAAAGGAGTGGTGAGCGAGGTAGCGAGGTTTAATGGGGTAGGGCATCCTTCAGAGTGGGCGGACACCTCTGCAGACGAATCTGGGAGAGCCTAGTTTACGTTGAGACAGGGTAAGCAAGGATACATAGTATGATGGAGGGAGTACACCCAACAGGCCAGGTGGGCATCTTCGCAGAGAGCTGAGGGCTGGAATATACCCGAAGGAGCAGGCAGGCGTCTCTGGAAAGGGCTGAGCACAGTCTGTGTTCCAACTGGGACTTACAAGGGAATGGGATCCAGTTCTTCTGGCCGTTTCTCCTTATTCCTGCTCACCCTCTTCTAGGCAAAGAGCTTGCTGGGTGCAAAATAGGTAAAATTCCTTCTAAGGTTTAATACTCAGGTTTGTCATACTGGGTAGTCCAACTGGCACTAGGCAAAGAGAGGATTCTCCTATGTGAAAGTTTTATTACCCAATGTAATCAGGCTGGGCAGCCCATTTGACCTGGGCAGAGAGGATTCTCCTGTGGCGCCTTCCTCGGAGGGAAGGCTGGGACCACCTGTAAAGTTATTGGGGTATGGCAGGACTTTGTAGTGCAAAATACGGGGCTGCTTCCAAAGTGTGCTTGAGAGGCTGCCACGTTCTTTCCACGGGTGCTTCGTTTTCCTTGGGCCCCTCACACACCCATGTCTAATCTCTATCTTCCTACCTGACAGAACACTGTTACCCTTCCCTCTCCTGCACCGACTCACTCTTTTTTATATATATTTTAATTAATGAACATAAATTTCCAAAGTACAGCTTATGGATTACAATAGCTTCCCCCCCCCATAACTTCCCTCCCACCCACAACACTCCCCTCTCCCCTTCCACTCACATCAAGATTAATTTTCAATTATCTTTATATGCAGAAGATCAATTTAGCATATATTAAGTAAAGATTTCAGCAGTTTGCACCCACACAGAAACACAAAGTGTAAAATACTATTTGAGTACTAGTTATAGCATTAATTAAACACTTAAGAGTAATTGTGTATTAATTACAGAGTTCAACCAATAGTTGTTAAGTAGAACATAAAAAATACTAAAAGGGTAAAGTATTAAGTTCTTTTTTTTCTTTTTCTTTTTTTTTGTTTGTTATATAGTTATTTTTTTATTTAATAAATGTGAATTTACAAAGTGCAGCTTTTGTATTGTTGTGGCTTCCCCCCCAACCTCCCTCCCTCCCATGGCCCTCCCCTCTCCTACTCCCTCTCCCATCCCGCCCTTCATCGAGTTTCATTTTCAATTACCTTCATATACTGAAGATCAACTTAGTATATACTAAGCAGGGATTTCAACAGGCTGCACTCACACAACTGCACAAGGTACAGGGTATTGTTCGACTAGTAGTGTTGTTTTTGAGTTTCATAGTTAAACACATTAAGGACAGAGATCCTACGTGGGGAGCATGTACCCAGTGACTCCTGTTGTTGATTTAACAATTGGCACTCTTATTTATGACGTCAGCAATCACCCGAGACACTTGCTATGAGCTGTCTAGGCTATGGAAGGCCCTTGAGTTCACTGACTCTGAATTTGTTTAGTCAAGGCCGTATCACAGTGTAGGTTCCTTCCTCCCTTCAGAGAAAGGCGCCTCTCTCCTTGATGGCCTGATCCTTCTGCTGGGGTCTTGTTCACCAGGATCTTTCATTTAGATTGGCTTTTGCCACCATGTCATGGCTTTCCATGCCTGTGAGACTCTCATGGACATTTTAGCCAGATCCGAATGTCCCAAGGGTTGATTCTGAGGCAGGAGTGCTGCCATTCTATGAGTCTGCTGTGTGTCCTGCTTCCCCCGCAGGATCATTCTCTCCCTTTTAATTCTGTCCTTCATTAGTTGCTTACACTGGTCTTATTTGTGAAATCTCATCAACACATACCTATGTTTTTGATGGGTTGTGTATTTACACTTATCACTTTACCAAGTGCGCTGGCATTGGTGCCTGCCTCCTTGGTAAGATTGCACTGACTCACTCTTAAGGTGTGTTCATTAGTACAGAGAAGATTTTTTTTTTTTTTTGACAGGCAGAGTGGACAGTGAGAGAGAGAGACAGAGAGAAAGGTCTTCCTTTTGCCGTTGGTTCACCCTCCAATGGCCGCCGCGGCCGGCGCACTGCGCTGATCTGATGGCAGGAGCCAGGAGCCAGGTGCTTTTCCTGGTCTCCCGTGGGGTGCAGGGCCCAAGCACCTGGGCCATCCTCCACTGCACTCCCAGGCCACAGCAGAGAGCTGGCCTGGAAGAGGGGCAACCGGGACAGAATCCGGCGCCCTGACTGGGACTAGAACCCGGTGTGCCGGCGCCGCTAGGCGGAGGATTAGCCTAGTGAGCCGCGGCGCCGGCCAGAGAAGATTTTTATGGCTGGGGTTGATTGAGTTTCAGGCCTAGGTCTGTATAATTCTACCTTACACATTGAAAAAGGAGGAGAAAAAAACCCTGATGTCATTAGATTCTGCCTCCTATCTGGAAAGGTTGTAATCTGCTTTCTGCTTTCCTTCCCAAATGTGGTATGTTTGTTGTTGGACAGCACCCCAGACTAGTTGGAGGTGTGCTATAGACCTGCTCAGCTCACGTGCAGAAAGCCAGTCACTGGTGCCGACGTGCTGGAAGAAAGCATTCATTGCAAAGCACAGAGCAAGAGTAGCTTGACGGCTGTTGTCTGATTCCTGGGTTCCCTGAGGAGTTGAGGTGAAGGTTCTTCAAAACTGAAACTGGGGCTGCGAGGTGTGTGAGCAGCTCATGTTCCCATTCCTGGTTGGTCAGTGGTACTTGGGACCTTTCTTTGGTTGGCGATGCCATGCTCTTTCCCCAAAGAAATTTATGCTGTCCAGGTGGGCTGCAGTTAGCCTGGGGGTGTTCGTGTAAGTGGCAGTCACCTTCTGCCCAGACCGGGAATTTCTCTAAACAAACCCTTCTGGACAGCGTACAACTCTAATTCAGTGAATTGCTTTTGATAGACAGGCTTGGGCTAAGGGAGACAGACAAGAGGCTGGGTCCTGCTTTTGCACTGTAGGCTTGCCTTAGTTTCATGTTAAACTGTAAGACCGTCTTCTACTTTGTGCACTTCCTTCCTTAGGAATCGGAGAAGATCATCGCTGAGCTGAACGAAACTTGGGAAGAGAAGCTTCGGAAAACAGAGGCCATCAGAATGGAGAGGTCAGGAGGTTAAAATCTTGGAATGTACCTAAGTTTTCTCAGGAATTTCAAACACTTTTATAGTGGGAAAAGATGAAATAGAAGTTAAAACAATAAACCTCCCCTCCTAAAACAGAAAATAACCTGGCCATGGACTTAGGGCCAATTGAATTTATTCTTTGAAGTGAAATCCACAAATGTAACTGTTCTCTAGGGAGTCATGTAGTTAAGGTCAGCATTCTACAGTTTGGTAGGGATCCATAAAACATGGAACGTATCAAGGGATAGGGTTTTTCATTTACAAAATGTAGACCTTCTTTGATTAAAGGCCCAAATCCAGATAGCTGCTGTGGTTGTGTTTCAGGGCATCCTTTTCTAGACCCTGTTTGACAAGAGGGTGAATCCCTGTTCTGTCTTAACCTCTGTCAGTTTTCTGCCTTGAAGGTGCATACCCCAAGATGATAGTTTTTGTTACTGAACTAAATATACATTTACAAAGTGTCACTTCCTGTCTTCCCCTTTCAGGTAAGAAGAGGCAGAGTGAGTTCTAATGTACTGAAATGTCAGATGTAACAAAAAAAAAAAACCAGAAATTTTCTTATTTCTTATATAGACTTTAAAGCTATAATTACTGAACCAAAATAATGGTGGGCATAGAATATAACATTTGAGAAAATCACATTTATAGATCATACTGCATATAACCAAGTAACTGATTCTTTTTCTTAGATTCTGAAGAAATGGTTCCTACAGTTTGATATATAGCCTTAAGGAACATGGCTTGCTCTCCTTTTTATATTAATTGACATGTTATTTAGGAATTATTATGTATTTCTACACTCTAATGAAACAAAGCTTATATCTGAATGAATGTATCTGTAACATAAGCATAATTTAATTTGACTGTAGTCTTTCTCATTAAAAATCATTTCTCATTAATGAGATAAGCACATTATTTTAAATTGGCATTCCCAACTTTAAATGTGGACAGCTGTTCTTGATTTCATGCTTTGCTTTCCAGTTCATGTTAGACTGCAGGAGTTGACGTTTGGGTGTTACTTTCCTGATTACTGTACTTTGTTCCAGAGAGGCCTTGTTGGCTGAGATGGGTGTTGCCATTCGGGAAGATGGAGGAACACTGGGCGTTTTTTCACCTAAAAAGGTAGGAAACAATGTTATGAAACTCAACAAAACATTTTTTGTTTGTCTTAGTCACCTGGCATTTCACGTCTTTCAGGGCTGGCCTCTCCCCCCCTTTTTTACCTTGATACTTGACAACATTTCAGATAGTTTGATTTCTTATGACAGTGGATTCAGAGTCCAAGGCCAGCTTATTTCTAAAACACCCATTAGGTTTACAATAGGAAAAACTTAAAAGCAATAAATCTGACTTTTGGTTGTGATTCAATATGTTTGGCCATCTTCCTGAACTGGCCTTACCATATTCCTGGCTTCAATTTTGGCTACTCTCTTTTTTCTTTTTCTTTTTTTTTTTAAATTTTGTTGTGAGATTGTTTTTTTTTCCTTAAGAGTTATATATTTACTTGAAAGGCAGAGTTACACAGACAGAGGAGAGGCAGAGAGAGAGGTTGGTCTTCCATCTTCTGGTTCATTCCCCAGTTGGCCACAATGGCCTGTGTTGCTCCAGTATGAAGCCAGGAGCTCCCTCTGGGTCTTCCCACAAGGGTGCAGGGGCCCCAAGACTTGGGCCATCTTCTACTACTTTTCCAGGCCATAGCAGAGAGCTGGATTGGAAGTGGAGCAGCCGGGACTCAAACCGATGCCCACATGGGGTGCCAGCATGGCAGGCGACAACTTTACCAGCTACGCCACCATGCTGGCCCCTTGGCTACTCTTTCTGTGTAGAGTTTTCCACAGAAGTCATCAACTCTGCTTTCTAATTCTATGGAACCAATTTCAGCTGTTCAGGTTTGTGTAGAAAACTATCGCTTCCGCTTGCTTCTGCAGTGTGTTTACTAGCTGAACACTCCTGAGTAAAGCAGTTCCGTTCCTCACCCTTCCAGCCTCCTCTGTAGCTTCCTGCTTTTTGTTTTTCTTTAACGACTCCAGTAGTTATTGTCTTACTTACATAATCATAGTTGTAGAGTACCTAAGTACCTTTTAGGTAATTAGAATAGTATGTTTTTTTAAAAAAAAAAACTTAGTTGCTATTTAGTCATTGTTAGATACTAGAAAACTGTTATCAGATGATTATTTTTGTGCTTACTTATGTAATAACAGTAGACCATGTATCAGTGTGCAGAGCCTGTTTCTCATACCTCTAGTAATGGGCCTTCCTTTTAAATCGCTTCAGATGGTCCATTGGAGACTTAAATGTTTCATGCGTTAGGTGCTGGTAGTGATTCTCCAATTTAGGATAGCAGACTTGGGAGTATGAATTGATACTTTTGTTTTATGTGATACAATATGAAATATTCATGTGGGTTTTTTTTTTTAAAGATTTATTTACTTATATGAAAGGCGGAGTTAGATCCTTCATCCACCGTTCACTCCCCAAATGGCTGCAACAGCTGGAGCTGAGCCAACCTGAAGCCAGGAGCCAGGAGCTTCTTCCGGGTCTCCCACATAGGTGTCAGGAGCCCAAACACTTTTCCTAGGCCATTAGCAGGGAGCTGGATCAGAAGTGGAGCAGCTGAGACCTGAATTAGCACCCACATGGGATATGAATGTCTTAGGCAGCTTTACTTGCTATGTGACAATGCAGGCCACTTGTGTGGTTTTTGCTATTTAATTTGGTTAGGTTTTTCTCTATCATGGTCACATAACTTTTTTATAAATTTCAATGTGTTTTCAATAGAAAAGATTGATTTAATGACATTTTAGATACGTATTTTAGAATCAGAACTAAGTACTTTATATGTTTATATTCTAAAAGGTCATTGGCTTTCATAGTTTTAATATATTTCCTTTGGTAGGATTTGTATTTAATCAGATATATTACCCATGGCTATATAAACTTTAACATTTGCAGTTTATTTGTTTTAAAGGTTTACTTATTTATTTGAGGCCAGCACCGTGGCTCACTAGGCTAATCCTCCACCATGCGGCGCCGGCACACCGGGTTCTAGTTCTGGTCAGGGCGCTGGATTCTGTCCCGGTTGCCCCTCTTCCAGACCAGCTCTCTGCTGTGGCCAGGGAGTGCAGTGGAGGATGGCCCAAGTACTTGGGCCCTGCACCCCGTGGGAGACCAGGATAAGTACCTGGCTCCTGCCATCCAATCAGCACGGTGCACCGGCCGCGGCGGCCATTGGAGGGTGAACCAACGGCAAAGGAAGACCTTTCTCTCTGTCTCTCTCTCTCACTGTCCACTCTGCCTGTCAAAAAAAAAAAAAAGTTTACTTATTTATTTGAAAGAATGACAGAGAGGGAGAGACGGACACTGTTTCACTCCCCAAAGTGACTGCAACAGCTAGGGCTGGGCCAGGCTGAAGCCAGGAGCCAGGGACTCCCACGGGGGTGGCAGAGACCCAAGTACTTGAGACATCATCTGCTGACTCCTAGGAACATTAGCAGGAAGCTGGATCCAAAGTATGGAGTAGGCAGGCCTTGAACCAGGTGTGCCTGTATGGAATGCCGGCATCCCAAGTGGCTGCTTAACCCACTGTGCCGCAGTGCTTGTCTCAGTGGTTGTAGGTTGGTGAAATCTAGATTGTGCCTTTGCTTGTATCTGAAGGCATTTCAGAAAATCTTTTGATGTTAAAAAAAAAAACTGTGGGAAACATTGTTGTAACAATGTTTGTAACATTGTTGTAACACAAATCCTAAATAACTTGAACAAGTGTTGTGTTAGAAACAGCACAGAATTCCAAATTGGGATCTCTGCTTCCAAAGGTTTTTTCTTGCTTTAATTTTACCCATCTCGCTTTAGCTTTGTCGACTTCTTCAGGAAAGGAGGGGATCATAGCCAGACAGTGTGAGAACCTGTGTTCTGAGATCTCTGTCTTAGTGACATGAGGAGCCCAGCGAGCCTTTGACTTTCTTATGCCTACAACGGTAGATGCTGGTGAGAAGAGGCGCAGGTTCCAATTGCTGTTGAACCCTCTTGTGTAGTCCTCCTTCTAACCCCCTTCCTCTGACTCTGCTTTCATTTCTCCACATCTGCTGGCGCGGCCTTGAGTAGATTTTGGGCCCGAGACCATGTGACTTATTTTTGGATTCCAGTGGGGTATTTTCACCAAAGAAGGTTGGTTTTTAAAAGATTTTCGAAATATTAGAGTTAGATGAAGAGGTTCTTTAAAAGATGTTTATCGTATTGAATGTCAGTATTTATAATTTTTTCCTTAAAGACTAATGCACTAAAGGCAGTAACTGGGACTGTGGAAGAACTGATGAAAATTATAGCGGCAGTGGCAGGGAGTGTGGAGACATTTTAATAAAAGTAAATGAAAAATTAAATCTTTTTTGAGAATTTTGCCAAAACATTTACAAAGATTATAATCAACTCACCCTGAGAGTCAGCCTGTCCCCATTTTCCCTTTTGCTTGCTGTACTTTGCCCTTATCAAGAACTGGGCCTCGTTCTTTATCCCAGAATTCATGTTTTTACTTAGAGTGTGATGGAACATGCTGGGGAGGCCTGCTTTCTCTTAATTATGGAATTGTAACTAGGAATGAAGAATCTGTCTTCAGGCACGATGGGGAAGGCGAGAAGCTTGGCTTCTGCAGGCCCCTGTTACTGCCACAGTCCTACTCAGGGTGCCTTACTTGGAACTGATCATCTGTAACCCTCTTTCAGACCCCGCATCTTGTTAACCTCAATGAAGACCCATTAATGTCCGAATGCCTGCTTTATTACATCAAAGATGGAATTACCAGGTATATTTGTTTCTCGTATTGGTCGCTTAATGTTTCTTTTCTCAGATCGTTGGAATAACTAAAAGGAAATTTTTTTTGTTGATAAATTTTTTGTAGTGATTTGCTGTTTCTTCTGTCTGAAATAATTGCAGACTGTCCTCCCTTTCCAAATTGTTTTGGTCACTAGAAACAGTTCACATGTACTTTTTCTCTAGAAGACTCTATAGAGGTTTTCCCTTTAACAGCTCAGCATGAATTCATTAGGAGTTTCGTGTGCTCCTGTGTTTTTATGCTGCTGTGTGAGTTACACTGATGCATCACTGCTCCTTGGTCTCTTATTGTGATGGGGGTGGGGGGTTGATCATGTTTAAGAATAGAATTTGCAGCTGAAAGCTTCTGATAAAAAAGACACCTTTTTTGTACAGACGAAGGATATTCTTTTGGAGAAAGAGGCTCATTGTTAGTAGTGCTTTTTGTGTCTGAATTTCCCTGGGAAACACTTTCTCTTGTGTGCAGAGTTGGCCAGGCAGATGCCGAGCGGCGCCAGGACATAGTGCTGAGTGGGGCCCACATTAAAGAAGAGCACTGTATCTTCCGGAGCGAGAGGAACAACAGTGGCGAAGGTGCGGGTTTGAGCCTCTCCAGCTTTTCCGTTCTGTGTTAGGAGAGATCCTGAAGCTTTCGTGTGCCCGGTCCTGCCAGTGGCACTTTCTTGTACATTCTGATATTGAAAAATGGGGAAAACCTGGGCTGCTTACAAATGCAGCCACTAACAAAGCTGCTTTCCATGAGAATAGCCTGGACAAAAGGAGCCCTTTGTTACTGCCGAGAACTGCCGAGACACAGGCAATTAGGCGTGTCTTGAATGTTAATTATTTTAATAGAAAAGTAAGGAAGGAACAAATATCCTGTTTAGTGGGAGGTTTATAAAGGACTTCAAGTCTTAATCTAGTAGAATTTACTTTAATCTGAAAGCGAAGAAGAAATCAATCTTATTTTTGCCCAGGTTATTAACAAAACAGCAATAATTGAATGGCGTTTTAGTGCTTTGTAGTTCACGCCTATCTTAATCAAAATATTAACTTTAATCTTCAGTTTCAGTTATTATCTGTATCTATTAATAAAGATTTCTGATGATTTTCAGTTTCATTGAACTGTTAAATATTACTGGAATTAATATTTCCTATATATTTTCTTCTGAGGTTTATCAAACTCTCTGTTAGCCACAGTCCCAGATAACTTCTTATACTGGAACTGATTTTGATATGCTAAAATGAATTCCTTTATGGATTCTTCAGTCACTGGATGGGTTGCAAAAGTCTGTATAATTACTGTGAATTCTGAGTGAGCTGCTATGGCTTGTGAGGATAATGTCAGTCTGTGTTCCTCTTAGTTATCGTGACTTTGGAGCCCTGTGAGCGCTCAGAAACCTACGTAAATGGCAAGAGGGTGGCCCAGCCTGTCCAGCTGCGCTCAGGTGAGATGGGGCGAAGTTTGAAGTCTTCAGCAGTGCATACCCGGCCTGTGTGAGCTGCTCTAATTTTTGATTCTGTTTAAAGGCTGAAATGGTAATCAGCATTAGAATTTATTCTTGTAAAATTCCAAAAGCTGTCTTCTATATGAGGGAAGGGGTGTTATTAAAGTAGATATTATGCATTTAAAAAGTTTGTTTTTTTTTTAACCCTATTTCTGTTTTGTGCTAGGAAACCGTATCATCATGGGTAAAAATCATGTTTTTCGTTTCAACCACCCGGAGCAAGCACGGGCTGAACGGGAGAAGACTCCTTCTGCTGAGACCCCCTCTGAGCCTGTGGACTGGACATTTGCCCAGAGAGAACTTCTGGAAAAACAAGGAATTGATATGAAACAGGAGATGGAGAAAAGGTAACGCACAAGTATTGTGTGGCTCACAGCTATCTCTTCTGTTTATTAATTTTTTATTTGAGACACAGAGAGAATGAGCATGTGTGAATGAGAAAGAGCAAGAGCGTCCCCCTATCCACTGGTTTAGTCCCCTCCATTGCCAAGACTGGGCCAGGCTGAAACTAGCAGCCAGGAACTCAATCCAGGTCTCCCGTGTGGGTGGCAAGGACCCAAATATTTGAGCTAATGCTGCTGCCTCTTAGGGTCTTCGTTTTTGGAAGCTGAAGTCAGGACCTGGAGCTGAGTATCAGACCCAGGCATGAGGATGGACAGCGGTCACAAGCACCTTAACCACTAGGCCAAAGGCCCTCTCCTGTCTCCTCTTTGCTTTTCCTTTAAGATGTGTTTGTTTATTTGTTTGAAAGAGTTACAGAGATAGAAGGAGAGAAAGAGAGATCTTCCATCTGCTACTTCACTCCCCAGATGGCCTCAACAACCAGGGCTGGGCCAGGCTGAAGCCAAGAGCCAGGTCTCCCATGTGGGTGGCAGGGGCCAAGGACTTGGGCCATTCTCTTCTGCTTTCCCAGGCACATTAGCAGGGAGCTGGATCAGAAGTGGGGCAGCTGGGACTCAACCAGGACTCATATGGGATGCTGGTGCTGCAAGTGGCAGCTTAACCTGCTGCGCCACAACGTTGGCTCCGCATCTCTTCTTTTAAACCTGTAGTATTGGGGCTGGCATTGTGACACAGCTGGTTAAGCCACTGCCTGAACTGCCAGCATCCCATATGGGCACCAGTTCAAGTCTTGGCTGCTCAGTTTCTGGTGCAGCTCCCTGCTAATGCACCTAGAAAAGCAATGGAAGATGGCCCACGTACTTGAGCTCCTGCCACCCATACGGGAGACCTGGAGGAGGTGTCTGGGTTTTGGCTTTGAACTGGCCCAGCCCTGGCAGTTATGGCCATTAGGGAAGTGGACGGGAGATCTCTGTCTCTTTCTCTTCTGTTTCTCCTTAACTCTTCCTTTCAAATAAAATAAATAAACCTTAAAAATTATCAAATACATAGTAGCATCATGAAACAATACAGTGGTTTCAAAGTTTATCATTTCCTTTTTTTCCCTTCTAGGCTACAGGAAATGGAGATCCTATACAAAAAGGAGAAGGAAGAAGCAGATCTCCTCTTGGAACAGCAAAGACTGGTAGGAATCCTTCCTGAGTCTGCTACCTAGGGTTAGGAAAAGGGTAGATACTCCAGTAGCTTCACCCAGCTGATTGGCTGTGATTGATACCACACACTATCCTTTTATTTCTTAATGGAGAATGAATTTAAGTCTCCAGGTAGCCTCAATCTGAACAGCTGTCCATAGAGGCACTATTTTGTGCCTTTTATGTCTTAAAGTCAAACCTTCTATTTCTATCATAGCCAGGTGCTTTTTGAGGAAATAGCAAAAGTTCTTTTGGTAGCCTTTGCCTCCTGATGGTGGTTTTTGAATTTGCATCAGTGGTGATTCTTTCAATGATAATTACGCTGAATATTGAATTTGGTGGAAGTTTGCCTTGGTTTTGTTTCTGATCACCTGATAGTACTAATTCTCTGCTCTTGGGCTGACTTGGGGATTGTTCCTGTGCTGGGCAGATTTTTTTTTTTTTTTAAAGTTAAACTGTGTCTAAAAGTGTTGCTGCACAGTTGCATGTTAATCCTTTTCTGTCCCCCTGCATGGAGTCTGAATTCTCAATGAGGTTCTCCTTGGCATGTGTGGTAACCATGGGAGTGGGGGTTGTGTGCTCAGACAGAAGAGGGAAAGCGGCTTTCTCTGGACGGAGAAAGGATGGGGGTGCTAGTTGATTTCCCAGGTTTGCTAAAACTGAATCTCATGAATAGATTGATCCATCAGTTGGATTTTTACAGCCAACCGATTTTGGTTGGTAAAGCCTGGTCATAAGAAGTAGCTCTGCCTTCCTGTAATTCAAAAGAAAAATGTGCAACCTCTGGGACGCTGTGCATGCAGTAGAGATTTATGGTCTTCTGAGATGAGGGGACATCAGAGAAAGCTAGGGCACTGGCTTCTTCCTTTATCGGAAAATCCAGCGTGTACACCACAGCCTCACAGCTGTGCTCTGTGCTTTGGAGAAGGGGCTTTTGCTAAATGGGCCAGAAAAGCCAAGCGCTTGGGCCAAAGCCGCCTCTTTCAGGACCCACAGTTCTCAGGCTTGTCAGTGAATTAAACCAGTTAGTTTGTTATCTTGGAAATTACAGTAAAGCCTCAGAAGGTATGGACTGTAAGAGTAAATCAAGTGTTTGGGGCAGGATAATGGTCATGTTTCACAGAGGGACTCCTCGGAACACCCACTCAGCATTTAACTTTTAATGAAAACAAAGATTTAGCTGCCATGTGATTAGGCACATTAAAGGTTTGTGACACATGAAGGAGCCTTTTTATCTTAGTAATGCCGTATAACCTAATAACATGCCTCTCTTGGTCTGTGAAAGATCAAACGAGGACAGGTGTAATTAAGCTCTATTTATTATTAACAATAGTGCCTGGTATTTGTATGGTACTTTATAATTTACAAAGAGCTTTAACATCCATCACTTTATTTGATCTTCTGAACAGTCCTCTTGGGTAGGTGTGTATGTGAGTAAAATGTGTAATATTCCCTCCAGTTCACCATAGAAGAAACCAACACTGAAAAAATGCTGTCTTTGCCCACTGGTAAACATGTGACAGATCACAGATCAGAGATTTAAACTCAGGTCTTCTGAGTGGGTTTGATGTTCTGCCCATCAGAGCACTGCTTTTTAACTGCCCATGCCTCTGGAGGTCTGTGGTGGGACCTGAGATTCTGTGTTTCTAGAAAGTTCCCAGGTGATGCCAGTACTGCTGGTCTTGAGACCACACGTTGAATAACTAGAAATGGAAGAATAGTAATGCCTAGAAAAAGATGCTGACCATTAAATAAAGGACAAGTAAATGTCTCCAAGTCAGATATGGTGTCTAGGGGACTCACACAGTCTGCAGTAATCAGGTTCTGATTGTCACTGCTCTGTGTGTCTGAAAACAAGCTAGTTCTTTATTTTTAAAGATTTTTTTTTTTATTTGAAAGGGTTACAGAGAGGGGAGAGAGGAGAGAGGGAGGGAGGGAGGGAGAGAGGAAGAGAGAGAAGGAGAGCGCGCATGCATGAGAATGAATCAGAATCTTCCATCTGCTGGTTCACTCCCTCAAGTGGCCACAATGGCTGGGACTGTGCTATGCCAAAGGCAGGAGGCTGAAGCTTCTTCCAGGTTTCCTGTGGGTGCAGGAGCCCAAGTGCTTGGGCCACCCTCTGCTGCTTTCTGAGGTGCCTTTGCAGGGAGCTGGATCAGAAGTGAGATAGCCGGTGGCACTGCAGGTAAAGCCGCCACTCCCAGTAGAAGATGGCCCAAGTCCTTGGGCCCCTGCACCCTCCTAGCAGACCCTGAGGAAGTTCCTGACTTGGCATCTGTGAAGCTGCAGTCATTGTGGCCATCTGGGGAGTGAACTAGCGGGTGGAAGACTATCTCTTCCTCCCTCTCCCTCCCTCTGTAACTGCCTTTCAAATAAATAAATATTAAAAAAAAAAAAAAAAAAAAAAGAGGAAGTGGGACAGCCAGGACTCAACCTGGTGCCTATATGGGATGCCACCGTTGCAGGCAGGAGGCTTAACCTGCTTGTTATGTCAAAGCACCTGCCCCCAAACTAGCTCTTTAAAGCCAGGAAGTTGCTTTCCTCCCCAGAGTCCGGGTTTCTGTTCTTTTTAACTTTCTTGATCTTAAGAGGAACTGATTTCTAACACTTTGGCTTAGAGGATATCTACCAGTAACAGTATAGAATGGAAAGTGTATTTTTATGACCCTATATCTGTCAACCAACAGAGATACTTGTAATGCAAAGCGAGTAAGCACTGAGAAGATACAAAGTCATTTAAGGATATTTGATACTTTCTGTACATAATCTTTATGCATGGTTGACGTAATCACAATGGCGTTCAGGGGAACACATCCTCTGTTGCGATAGTTCCTCAAATGCGTCACGTTTTTACGTTGCTGAGCACCGTTCTCCTCGCTAGTGCCCTGTTGGGTGCCTGACCCGTCTTGTGCTCACCTTCTGCGCTGGGTCTGGAATCTTCTGTCCCTTGCATAGCTCTTGCAGAGTCCTTTCAGGAAGCCCATTTTGCATCTGGTGTTCAATGAAAACAGAAATATCATTTAGTGCCATGTGAATTGGCCAGAACTAAGTAGGCTTTCTGACCTTGTGATAAATGAATATAAATATTTCTAAAAATACTTTGGTATGAGGTGATGTGTACATCTTGGCACATAAACTTTGTATACAGAGTTATAGTTTCGTCAGTATGCGATAGGGTGGTAGCACTTGAACTGTAAAGAGGACATTTTCTGCAGAGTGACTATAGCAGTATTTTAGAAAGAAAGAAAGATATGGCTACTTGAGTTTATTCGAATTCCTTTGGCTTTATTTTTATTCTCTTTTTTATGTTTAAATCTGTAACTTTAGTCTTTCAAGCATGATACTCAGACAATGACTAGAATACCATTTCCTAAATTAAGCAATATTAGTTTGATCCATAAGCAATTTTAAGGGGAGAAGAAATGATAGTTGTCAGTTATGTGGCAAGAATCAGACAGGTTTTCTGTTACTCTTCCAAAGACTCAGCTTAAACATGTTTGCCAAAAAAACTTTTTCAGGAGTCAGACATACTTTTTCTCTAGTGTTTATTAATGTCATCTTGTATCACTTAAAATTAGCCATTCCAGTTTTTAAAACTAAAAGAACTGAAAAGAAAAATAGTATAGTATGTACATTCAGCTTTTTCTTTTTAAAGATTTATTTGAAAGAGTTACACAGAGAGAGAAGGAGAGTTAGAGAGACAGAGAAGTCTTCCATCTGTTGGTTCACTCCCCAAATGGCTGCAATGGCCAGAGCTGCACTGATCCGAAGCCAGTATCTAGAAGCTTCTTCCAGGTCTTCCCACATGGGTGCAGGGGCCCAAGGTCCATCTGCTACTTTCCTAGGCCATAGCAGGGAGCTGGATCGGGAGTGGAGCAGCCAGGTCTCAAGCCAGAGCCCATATGAGATGCCAACACTGCAGGCGGTGGCTTTACCCGCATCGCCACAGTGCCAGCCCTTGTTGCCAAGTTTTTAAATCAGCAGAGGTTATAAATGGGCTTAGTACTCATTTATTTTAAGGCCATTAAAAATAATATATATCGATAATAACATCTTGGCCGGCGCCGCGGCTCAATAGGCTAATCCTCTGCCTGCGGCGCCGGCACCCGGGTTCTAGTCGCGGTCGGGGCGCCTGATTCTGTCCCCGTTGCCCTTCTTCGAGGCCAGCTCTCTGCTGTGGCCCTGGAGTGCAGTGGAGGATGGCTCAAGTGCTTGGGCCCTGCACCCCATGGGAGACCAGGAGAAGCACCTGGCTCCTGGCTTTGGATCATCATGCCGGCCACAGCGGCCATTGGGGGGTGAACCAACGGTAAAGGAAGACCTTTCTCTCTGTCTCTCTCTCTCACTGTCCACTCTGCCTGTCAAAAAAAAAAAAATAACATTTCTTTTTAAAAGATTTATTTATTTGAAAGTCTGAGTTACAAAGAGAGAGAGAGAGACAGAGAGACATCTTCTAGATATCTTCCATCCGCTGGCTCACTCTTCAGATGGCTCTAATGGCCAGGCAGAAGCCTGGAGCCAGTAGCTGCATCCTGGTCTCCCACGTGGTTAGCAAGGGCCCAGATATTTGGGCCATCTTCCACTGCTTTTCCCAGCCATAGCAGGGAGCTAGATTGGAAGTGGAAGAGCTGGGACGTGAACCTGCACCTGTGCGAGGTCCCGGAATTGTAGGCAGCAGCTTTACCCATGTAGCAACATGTTGAAATTCAGAGGCCATAGTAGTATCAGTATTGTTAAAGTTTTTTTGTTTTATGGTTCCCTAGAAAATAGCTATGTATACAGTCAACATAGAAAGCAAAATACTAGTTATCAGTTTCAATTCCTTTAAAAAAGATAGGGGAAAAAAAAACCCTTTACAGGAGATATTTTTGGTAATTGCAACCAAAACTACAAATAGCAGTGTTGTCTTTTATTAGGCTATCTTGAACTGCTCATCCAATCAGTTATTTTCTTTTCCCAGCAACTTTTATTTCCTGAATGGAAACTCTGCCTA